TTCCCTTTTCCTTGGCTCCATCCACCTTACAGCAAAGGTGAGTGACTGTCACACATTCTCTATGTGATGTCCAGAGCAGGCTGTGCTGAGGCAGGGCCCGCTCTGTGCAGCCTCAGCCAAGGTGGCTTCAGATAACGGAGTAGCCACAGGGCCCGGGAGACAGCCTGCAGCGCCCTTGGCTTCATTCTCTTTTTAACCGCCATTGTGTTCCTGAGGTGCCCCTGGGGTAGATGTCCAATGCTGGGTGAGTCCTGGCTTTGCCACCCTGGCTGTGTGACTTGCCACATTAAGTCCCCTCCCTGGGCCTCTGTGTCCACAACTGTAAAATGGGCAGATTGGGTCTGGTGACTCCAAGGACACTTTTAGCTGTAAGAATCTATGAGGCAGGCATCCTGAGCTGGCAGAGCCCCCTCCTGGTGGCAAGTGGAAAGAGGTCACCTGCTCTGAGTCTCAGGGACTAGCTCACCTTCTGGGTAGACACTCTCTCCTCACACAGGCAGCCCGAGGTGACCTGCACACACCCGGCCTTCAGTCAGGCTCTGTCTGGCCTGCACAGGCGCAGAAATTAATTTTGTTTCTTATTGGAATACCAGCTCTGCCTCCCTTTCTCGCTCTCCACTCCCTGCCAAGAGTCTCCTGGGGTTACCTCCTAAATAAGGGGCTCATCTGTCACTGGAGAGAGCATGGTGTCCCCGGTTGTGATACCCAGAGAGAGACACAACCTCACAAATGCAGTGCCTGTCTGGGAATGCATAGCCTTGATCCAAACATGAGGATTCACGGAGCAGTTCTATCACTAGGGAGGATGTATATACATCCAGAAGCTCACTGTCATCTACGTCAGAGAAAAGAGTCAGGTTTAGATCACAGGAGACTAAAGAGACAGGACAAGTAAACGCAATATCCAATCCTACGCTGGACCCTGTCCTGCCAGGGAGAGGCTGGCGAGGATATGATTAGGTAAGCTGACAAAATTGGAACAGACAGTAGATTAGATTAAACGATTGCATCCAAGTTAAATGTGCTGACGTGGATGACTGTACATCGTTTTACAAGAGGATCTCCTTAGGATCGGGCTTTCCTGGGCTCGCCATCTTATAAAGAAGGGGGCTGGTTTACTTCAGAGCTTCCTATCCTTTCATTTTGAGGGAGAGTCATGCATTCCTTCGGGAATCCGATGAAATCTCTGGACACGGCACTTTGAAACAACGTCACATACACATTCTTTGTTGTGGGTCATCTCCAGAGGTCACAGAATCTCATGGAAGTCTCAGCTAAGAAGCCTTGGACGGGTGGTCTGATAGGCCTTCAGTTACCACATCCTAAAGTTCTGAAAGCAAAGGGCGTGACACAGTCAACTTACTCTCACATAGTCCAGAAAAGCATGCCCTGCGTGTATTTATATATATATATATATATATATATATATATATATATATATATATATATAGAGAGAGAGAGAGAGAGAGAGAGAGAGAGAGAGAGAAAATGATAAAGCAAATGAGGCAACATGTTTGAAAAAGATGTGTATTCAAGGGTTCTATGTACCATTTTTGTTCTTGTAACATTTTTATGTGTGTGAGTTTAACATCTTTTTCCAAATAAGATGTTAAAAAATCACATGCCTGCCTGGCCAGTGTGGGTCCATGGTTGACTGTCAAGCTATGAACGAGGTTACAGGTCAATTCCTTGTCAGGGCACATGCCCGGATTGCAAGTTGGATCCCAGTAGGGGTGGGTGCAGGAGGCAGCTGATCAATGAGTCTCTCTCATCATTGATGTTTCTATCTCTCTCTCCCTCTCCCTTCCTCTCTGAAATCAATATATATATATATATATATATATATATATATATATATTTTTTTTTTTTTTTTTTTTTTTTTTTTAAATCACTTGCCTGGTGCCTAAATATCATTCAGTAAGTGGTGCCCATTATTGGCATTTCACTGTGAGTATGCGGCAGGGAGTTTAATGCTGGTGAGAGGGGCAGGCAGCAGGGGCAGGAACAGCCAGGAAGTCAGGAGCTGAGGGACATGGGGTCGGGGTGGGGTGAGGCGTTCAGGGGGAGGGGGGGGAGAGCGGGTAGCAACGTGGCAGACAGCTGTGTTACAGAGATGCCAGTGAACTATTTGAAGTTGAACTACTCACTGATTTTTGCTAAGGGAGCAAGTCAATGGATAGTCAGTGGCCATGGTCTGCTTTTCCTCACCTTTCTCCTTGTTTCTTACCTGCCCCTCTATGGTATAGAATGCTGCAATGAACTGTACTTTCTAGAATCGTGGACTGTCCATACTGAGGGACTTTAACCACCATCTCATCCACCCTTTTCATGGGATCAGTAAGAAGAGGAAGTGAAATTAATTTCCAGGTCGACCGTGATACAATGAAGAAAGGGGGAGAGTTGGTACCCAAGATATCTCAAGACAACCCTATTTACTAAACTCAGGAAAGCATGGCAGAGTGTTGTTATAATCTTGTCTTGGCTGTTTTCTTTGAGGGTTTGGGTACTGTGCCATATGAGCCTCAGAGCTGCAGCATGATATACTACAGAGTGTCCCGCTGGGAACCAGAGACTTGGACTAACTAAATGAACTGGCTGTGTGGCCTTGGGCAGGTGGCTTTTTCTCTCTGAGCCTTGGTTCCCCCATCATAAAATGCAAGAGTTGATCTACGTAAGAACTTTTTTATTCTTTGTGTAGGATCATGGATTCCTTTGAGGACCTGACTAAATCAATGGACCCTATTTCAAAGCTGTGCACTTGTAATGCATAATCTCCAGAGGTTCACAGATCTCTCAGGGAAACTCTCTGTGCAGACTGTCTTCTGACAGGCCTTCCAGTTACCAATTTCCCAAGTCCTAAAAGCTGTCAAAATAGAGTCAGTGGGTAGAGCTTTGCTTGCATTGCATTGAAGAATTAACCCATCCATTCCCAAGCCACTCTTTGAGCTCAACTCTGGCTAGAGAGATGTTGAATAAACACTTTAAAGTTATCTCTTAGAGATGTATCAGTGCAACATGAAAATGGCTTGAAGTAAAGGCCATCTGCTCTTTGCTTACAGCTGGAAAAATTTCTCCCTTTGGTTACAGTCACACCCATTGGCCTCAGATAAAACAAGCCCTTCTGACAATCGGAGACTCCTTCCAGCCAATAGGGGTAAAGAGACCATCTAGCAACTCACTTGTTATCCCTACAACATGCAATCAGCATGAACGAAAGTCTGCTCCCTGAAACTAGACTAGCCCCCCAGAACATTGCTGGGAGAAAAAATAGACCATTTAATTAAGCTCCACATACTAGCAATTGATTCCAATTTTCCACTTCTAATTTAGTAGATAATATCCACTGGGTGTGCACTAAGAAACTATAGAAAGTCGTAATGTTGGTGATGAGCTCACCTATTTTTCTTTTAGTCCTTGCACATTTTTGTTAAGATACCTGGTATGAGAGAAGAAAAAAAAAGAGAGAGAGAGAAAGAAAAAGAAAGAAAAAAAGCCTGATACGTGGCTCAGAGGAAAATGGAGATGCCTGAGTGGAAGCCAGTCCCAGTGACAGGCAGAGCTGGAGCGAGAAGTGGCCGAGTCACTCATGGGAGGTGCCATTGAGATCTCTCCCAGGTGTGCTTTGCTGGGAAACAGTAGACAAGATGCCAGGATTTTCATCCCCAGGTACCAGGAAGAACTCACAGGAGGTGGGCCCTCTGATCTCACCTGAATGACTCAATTGTTCTCTGTTCCAAACTGGTTTTCCCACATCCCATCCGATCATCGTCAGCCACCTCTGCAGTCAGTCCACTCACATCACTTCTTCCTCTAGCATTTCCAACATCTCCTTTCTATTACTGAAACTTCCAAACCCTCTGCACAGCACCCACAGCCCACCACCTTCTCACCCACCCCACCTTTCCAGCGTTTCCTCCCAAACATCCCTCCATACTCAACCCTTCCTGGGTCTCTGTGAAGGACCTCTGTGAGCCCGATGCTCAGAATTCATTGCTCTTTCCTCTCTGTCTCACTCAGCGTGCACTGCTTTTATCTCGAATGACTTGGTCTTACATCTGCTTCCTAACTAGATGTAAATGGCCAAATTTGTTAGTGAATGAACAGATAAATCAATAGATACATTTAAGTATATGCAGAGAATGCCTGTTCTCTGGCATCAAGGGCTTGGTCCAGGGGGCCGGCGAGGGGCAGATCCTAAGGCTGCTTTTGTTTCCACGCTGTGTCCATGGTGGCTTAGCGGAGGGTGGAAAGCCTGGGTCCCCACAGAGGAACCAGCAGCAGGAACAGACCTCTCGAGGGACAATGCAGAGCCCTACAAGAGTTCACCTTCAAGGCCAAGGACTGGATCATTGGAGAATATCCCACCAGGAGTCCAGTTGGCCAAGGAGGTCCTGCTGAGCTGGCAAGTGGCACTCCTGCCCAGGTGCCAGGCAACTCAGGGAGGATGGCAGGCTTGCGGCCACGGTACCATTTAATGCAAAGAAGCCAGTCTGTTCTCTTGGATAAGAGCTTTCAGCGCTGGGAGAAGGTGGCTACACTAGGAAACCATGGGTAGCCATGAGCAGAGGAACTGGTTTGTAGTGACTGGACCCTCCACGTCAGTTCCTGGCGCCGGGGTGGCCCAGAAAAGAGGGTCTTTGGGGATGGATGGATGGAACTCTGTAGGCTCAGTTCACAGGAGTCTGGAACCCAGAGTGGGATGCTGGAGACTGCTGGGAAGGAAATGAGAATGGAGACTGACTTCACCTAGCAAAACTAGATGTGCTGAGGGAGGGGCAGGGAGAGGAGAAACGACAATGACCTGGATAAGGTCAGCCTGGATCGTGGGGCCAGGAGGCTCAGGAATCACAAACCACCCCAATTTTGGCCTTGAGCCCCTCTTAGCTTTGGGAGCTCCCCCGAGCTCTGGAAATGTACCGCCATATATCTACGGCAGCTGTTCTCCAGTCCATGAGTGAAGTCCTGGATGGAAGTCCTGGCGTGTTCACGGGGGTTTGCAGCTAAATGTATTTGATGGGGGAGGCGGGTCCCTCCAGGATCAGGTCATCCACGTCGCTCAGGAGCTCGCGCTCACTGGCCGTGGCTGCATTCTGCAGGTGGCGGAGGCGGGCCTGGACCTGCTCCTGCTCCTTCTTGAGCTCCACGTAGGAGTGCGAGAAGGTGTGGAAGATGGACGTGGCTGGGAAGGCCATGATGAGGATGCCGCTCAGGATGCTGCTGAGGGCCACCATCTGGCCCGGCACACTGCGCGGGACCATGTCCCCGTAGCCCACCGTCGTCATGGAGATGATGGCCCACCAATAGGAGGCCGGGATGCTGGTGAACTCCAGGACCCGCCCGGACTCGTTCTCGGCCACGTAGACCAGCGGGGAGAAGAGGGTGATGGCCACGCAGAGGAACAGGAGGAGGAGGCCGAACTCGCGCGTGCAGCGGCGCACGGTCAGGCCCAGCGTCTGCAGCCCCAGCGAGTGGCGGGCCAGGCGCATCACGTAGAGGATGCGCAGCGCCCGCAGCACGCGCAGCAGCAGCCCCACCTTCTCCAGGTAGAAGCTACCGCCGGGCCGCTCGTCGTCCTCCCGGGGCTCCTCGGACACCACCAGGGACACGTAGTAGGGGGAGAGGGCCAGGATGTCGATGATGTTCAGGGGCCCCTGGAAGAACTGGCACTTGTTGCGGGCCTGGACGAACCGCAGGCAGAACTCCAGGGAAAACCACGCCACACAGATGGTCTCCACGATGAAGATGTAGTAGCACTTCTGAGAGCACTCCCCCTGGAGAAGCGACAGAAGAACGCAGGGTAGAGCGGAGGATGGCAACAGCACTGGGAATGGGGGGAATGGCCACGCCGAAGGGCGATTCCATATGTCTATGTGGACAGCAATATACATAGGTATATATGGGATATTGATATGTTGAATGTGGAGATAGATATCGGTTCCACATACCGATTCTACATATTAAATATATTCTGTATGTACTATATACATTCTCTTTATTCCTTTTTGTTATTGTTATTGTTCATCCTCACCCAAAGGTATTTTTCAACTGCTTTTTTAGAGAGAGTGGAAGAGAGAGGGAAAGACAGAGAGAAACATTGATGTGAGAGAAACACATCCATTGGTTACCTCCTGAAGGAGCCCCGGCCAGGGCCTGGGCCAGCCGGGGAGGAGCCTGCAACTGAGGTGCTTGCCCTTGACCGGAATCAAACCCAGGAGTTTTCAGTCCGTAGGTCAATGCTCTATCCACTGAGCCAAACCAGCTAGAGGCCCATTACACAACATTGGTGCAAGAATAGGCCTTCCTTCCCCTGGCTTCACTCCCAGCTGCGCAGGAGCCAGCAAGTCCTTGCTTTTGTCTGGAGCACCACTCCTGTAGGTCCCTCCACCGCCCCTCTCCCCCTCATAGCAGGCATCCCGCACCAGTGCCTGAATATGCAAATTAACCCACCATCTTTGTTGGGTTAATTTGCATATGCATTCTGATTGGCTGTGTGCATAGCAGAGGTATGGCCAATTGACATGTTTGTCTATTATTAGGTAAGATAGTATCTGTTTATTATGTGCTGTAGACTCTTAGTTGTCCACCAAAGCCCCCTTTTTACATAGTTATCATGCTCAGTGCTGGGTGCTGGCTGCTCAGCTGGATCACAGACTATCTTTCCAATCTCCCTTGCAGCTAGTATTGCCAAAGAACAAATCCCCACCTGTGGAATGTGAACAGAAGTGAGGCATGCCACCTCTGGTTCCAGAACTTAAAAGTGTTGGTGTGAATTCCTGAACACACTTTCTGCCTGTGAGCCAGAACAACCCATTTGGCCCTGCAACCCAGCTTGGAACCAGTAGATTGGATCAATGCTCCAGGGAGGATGGGGCACTAGGGATGGCAAAAAAATCTGGATCTCTGAATGAGAGCTGCCCACTCACCTTGATCCCTCTTTGTGAAACAAATCAACTTCTATTTTGTTTAAAGCCATTCTATCTTGGGGCCTCTTTCTTATAGCAGCCAACCTTCACCTTTCCCTGTAAGCCCCTCTTGTGCACCAGGCATGTGCACAAGTGCTGTCCCTTAAGCTCCACAGTGATGCTGTGAGCAGGCAGCACAACTTCATTTTGTGGCCCAGGACATGGTTCTGAGCAGTGAAATGACTCACTTACATAGTAGATGGTCTCTTAGCCCATACACTCTATTTTGTAACTCCTTTGCCTGCCATCCCTCATTCATTCATCCAACAAAACTGTCTAAAGATTTGAGCTAGTCTCTGGGTGGGGTAAAGTACTAGGGAAGCAGATGTTGTTTCTGGGGGGGTTGGGGCTATGGGGCAGAGAGGACTCCTGCGTCTCTAGAACGGCACTGGTGACATGGACTGCAACTGTTCACACAATTGTCTAGGACAGTGGTTCTCAACCTTCCTAATGCCGCGACCCTTTAATGCAGTTCCTCATGTGGTGGTGACCCCCAACCATAAAATTATTTCTGTTGCTACTTCATAACTGTAATTTTGCTACTGTTATGAATCGTAATGTAAATATCTGTGTTATATTCCTGTGATCTTAGGTGACCCTGCTAGCGGTTCTCAACCTGTGAGCCTAAGACCATCGGAAAACACAGATATTTACATTACGATTCATTAACAGTAGCAAAATTACAGTGATGAAGAGCAACGAAAATAATTTTATGGTTGGGGATCACCACCACATGAGGAACTATATTAAAGGGTCGCAGCATTGGGAAGGTTGAGGACCACTGGTCCTCTAGGGATCCCAGCGATGTGGGGGCTGCTGTGGCTTCATTGTTGTGCCATTCACACTCCCTACCTTTGGCTTCCAACAGAGTCCCAGCAGCCCTCCTGCTCCTCCAAGTGTGGTCCTCTCACCAGAACCATCCCCTCCCCTGGGAGGTCATTAGAAGCACAGACTCTTGGGCCCTTCTCCATCCCTGAGGAATCAGAATCTGCATTTTAACAAGACCCCGAAGTGATTTGTATGCACGTTAAATTTGGTCCCGGGCAGTGGTTCCCAACCTGGGCTGCAGAGCAGAGTCACCTGGGGAGCTTTGAAAAGTATCCTGACGTCTGGGTTGGGACCTCAGAAATTCTGTAATTGCTCTAAGTTTGAGCCTGAGCAGTAGAATTTTCCAGTAGCCCCATAGATGATTCTAATGGAAGCCAGAGTTGAGAACCTGACTCTAAATTATATATACTTATGATGGATGAGCAAATGAATGGCAAAGCCAGTTGGCTGCCTGAGTGAAAAGCAAAATGTTGACAACCACAGTTTCCTTTGGACTAAAAAGCTCTGAAGTGGAAAAAGAAATTATTTCCAGCGCCTGGGCCCACAGGACAATTAAATTGAAATGTCCTTTATGTCTGGCTGCTGGAGAAAGAAAAACAGGCTGGTCTGTTCTGCCCTTTGTCTGCCTGTCCAAGGCTGGGCAACTTTCTCTTGACTTGTACCTGGCCTACTGAAGGGGTGGGAGGTGGTGGGAATGCTGTTGAGGGTATGGGATCCAGAGTGTCTGTGTCCAGGTTCACATCCCTCACTTCCGCTTGCTCGGGCATGTCATTTAGTCCCTCTGGACTTGCCGTCCTCTGCTCCGGAAGTTGTGATGAATGGAAATGATGCGTGTCAAGCAGGTTGCAGGCTGTGGCACCTACAGACACACTATACTACCTTGATGAGATGAGTGACTGGGCACAGACATAGCCTGCCTGGTTGGTTAAAGGCAGCCATATCCTCGTCCTATTGCTGGATTCTTCGGGAACCTGAGGACATTCTCCAACATATTGGGAGGCCTTTGCCATGACTGCCCAGTTTCTTTAGGATCCTGGAGGGCACAGGAGTTTAGGATCCTGATTCATCAATCCTGCTACAAATTTGCTGTGTGACCAAACAACAGTCACTGTCCCTCTCTGTGCTCCAGTTTCTGATGCAGAGGTTGGAACAGAAGTAGTATCTATTGAAGCTGAATTAGAACCCTGTGCATCAGAATCCCCAGGGTGCTTGTTACAAATGCAGATTCTTAGGTCCCAAAAGCCAAACCCTGGCCTAACTGGTTTGGCTCAGTGGATAGAGTGTTGGCCTTGCGAAAGGTCCCAGGTTCGATTCCGGTCAAGGGCATGTACCTTGGTTGTGGGCACATCCCCAGTAGGAGGTGTGCAGGAGGCAGCTGATTGATGTTTTTCATCAGTGTTTCTAACTCACTATCCCTCTCCCTTCCTTTCTGTAAAAAAGTCAATAAGATATATATATATTTTTTAAAAAGCCAAACCCTGGATTGGGGTCCAGGAATCTGAATTTTGGCAAACCCTGCTGTTGACTCAGAGGCACCTGGATGTTTTTCAGACTCTGGGCCAGATTCTCCCTACAAGGCCTCTTCCGTCGCTGACAGTCTGGGATTTTTCCTTCTGGCCTAAGAGCCTGCGGCATCTGGGAATAACTAAGTGTTCCAGGCCAGTGACCCAAAGCTCAGGAAGGTGACTCCTGAGAAGGCTCTGTGGGTCCTCTCTCTGCCCTGTGCTGGCATTTGGATATGCAAGGCACGCACCAGCCACTTCCTTCCCGCGGCCTGGCCAGGCTGTGCTGGCCACCTCCCCTCACTACAGCAAGCGCCTGCTCTGCCCAGTCACCCCCTGCATTGCTGCTCTGCTCCGCACCCTTCCACCAACCTCCCAGCCTTGGTCCCAGAGAAATGCCCAGGTGGCAGCCCAGCGGAGGGGCAGCAGGGGTTTGTGGGGCTCCAGCTCAGGAAATTATTCCCAGGCCGGTCAATATTGGAAGGAAAATAGAAAGGAGGAAAAGTTACTTTTTTCTCTCTGAGAAAGTTTCCTTTGTGTGTGCGGATTTTTTTTTTTTAATAATAAATATTTTAATTGATTTTTAGAAAGGGAGGGAGAGAGAGGGAGAAAGGGAAAAATGTTATTTTTTTTCTCTCTGAGGAAGTTTCTATTGTGTGTTTTGTTTTGTTTTTACCAATAAATATTTTAATTGATTTTAGAAAGCAAGGGAGGGAGAGGGAGAGAGAAACATCAATGTGAGAGCAAAACATCAAATCGGCTGCCTCCGGGGATTGAGCCTGAAACCCAGGCATGTGCCCTGACCAGGAGTGGAACTGGCAACCTTTCAGTGTATGGGATGACACCCAACCAACTGAGCCACATCGGCCAGGGCTCTGGTTGTGTTTTGGAAGTGAGGTGAACAACTCATCCTGGATTGCTCAGAATTTTCTGGATTTGAGGGCAGAAAGTCCAAGGTCACCAGAACCCTTCAGTCCTGGGCAAACTAAAATGGCTGATCACCTTCTTGGGGGGGGTCTTGCCACCAGCAGGAGTGAGGAGTGCTCTGCTTCCCTCATGCAGTGAAGGAGAATGCGAGTCAGCTGCTGGAGGTGTGAGCGATGTAACCACGTGGGCGAATCTCACAGACAGGATGTAGGGCAAGACAAGGCAGATGTAGATCTCCATTTATGTGAAGTTCAAGGACAGGCAAAACTCATCCAGGGTGGGCAACATCACCCAAAAAATAGCTGCCTTTGGGTGGGTAGCAATTGACTGTGAAGGGACGTGATAGAATTTTCCAGGGTGATGGGGCCATTCTATTAAGTTGTACAGCTAAATACATTGTGCTTTTAAAATATTTTATTGATTTTTTACTGAGAGGAAGAGAGAGGGATAGAGAGTTAGAAACATTGACCAGCTGCCTCCTGCACACCTTTCACTGGGGATGTGCCCATAACCAAGACACATGCCCCCTTGACTGGAATCGAACCTGGGACC